GACTAACAAAGGACCATGACTCCCACATTAAACTTAACTTACATAACTTAAGGCTGCAGTTCATCGATAATTTAAATAAAAAGATTGTTCTTGAAATAGTTTTACTGAAAATGCAAACATGCTGATGAAAATGTGTTGTTTAATTGTCTATTATGAAAGTATTGCTATTTCTAATTTAAAAATTGTTGTTTTATCTATAGTATAATATTTATATGTATTTATAGTAAAGATATTTAATTATTACTGTTTAAATGACTTATGCTATTATTAGTAGTGGTGTTGTGCTTAGCATTAAAATGCCTTTTTGTCTTTTTCTGTAATACAAAGTGCCAATAAACCATTAATATATGTCTATGTGCTTGTATTTATTTTACCCTACTCTAGTTAATTCAATTTAAGATGCATTTTATTTCAAAGATTTAAAATGGTTCTTTAAAGAACCACTCAGAAAAGGGTTCTTTAAGATGGGTCTTTAAAGAACCATTTGAAAGACCTTTTTAAAACTAGTTCTTCAAAGAACCATTTTAAAAAAGGTTCTTTGAAGAACCTTTAATGGTGCCCCAAAGAACCATTTCTTGATTGTTCTTTGGGGCACCATTAAAGGTTCTTCAATGAACCACTGAAAGAAATGGTTCTTCAAAGAACCATTGTTTGAAAGGTTCTTTGTGGCACCACAAAATGTTCTTCTATGGCATCAGTCTAAAGAACCACTTTTGGTTCCAGTTGGCACCTTTATTTTTCTGAGTGCATTGTTGGTACCAGAAGAAAAAACTCGGTAATCCTTTCTGAGAGGAAAGAAAAAGCATAAAAGAGATTAAAGGAGAAACCGTCTCTCACCAAGTCTGGTGCACATCTGTTTCTACACAACACCCACAAAGATCACACTTCCCAACAATCGTGTGCTCTCTTTCTCTCACACACATACACAGTGCAAGCACTGCCTTGTTTGCTCATCACTTCTTCTACATGTCAGGTAGTTAAACTACAGCACGACTTAAAGACATAAAGGTCTGGATGACCTCTGATATTCTGTTTCTAAATTCAGACAAAACTGAAGTTATTATAAAATCTTAGAAACGTGATGCCGAACGAGACTCTGACTTTAGATTGCACAGTTTGAATATTAGCCTTGCTTTCAGTTCTGTTTTGCATTCTGATTTTTTGTTTAGTTTTTTAGTTTTCTTTGTTAAAGTTCAGGTTTTTCCTGTCCTATGTGTCCCATACCTAGTCTGTGTTTCTGTAAGGTCTCCCATGTTTAGTCACTTTTGTCTTTGATAAAAAGACAAGTTTTAACAAGTTTATGTGTTTAAGTCTCAGTGCTAGTTTAAAGTTTTGTTTCTCACGTCAGCCTGACGTAGTTCACCTGTGTCTTGTTTTCCCCAGCTGTGTTTCCCTAATTAGCTTGTGTGTATTTAAGTCCTCAGTTTCCCTTTCATCTTTGTCACAGGCTGTGTATCCATCCGTGTCTCCCTGTCAGTTAATATTCTCGTGTTTGGTTATTTGTTAATTCTGTTTGTTTCTTGCAATAAAGCTGCATTTAAAACTTTAACTTTTGCTTACCGCATCCTGCATTTGGCTCCTGTCTCTGCCTGCTCCACAGCACCCCCGGACCAAATTGTCACTATTTTGTGCATTAAAAGGAGGAGGAACCACATGGTTATTAGTTCCACCGTCCACGTGTCTCACATGGTAACATGACCATTGAACGTTTACCCAAAATGCCCTTTTTGAAATTTTCTCTAGTCATTTATCAGAAAAACTGATCAAATATTTATGGAACCAAATTTTTTCATTCATGCTGTTGTTTGAGGTGTTTATTGAGATCATAATGTAACTGATGGTGTGCTCGTCACAGCCCTGATCACATCAGAGTTCAGCCTCACAGAGCTGTCAGCATTACTGTAGATGATGTTTTAAAAACAGCTCTTTGTTCTAAACACCAGGTCCCTATTTCAGGAAGCCGGTTTAGTGGAAAAACTGAGTAAGTATACCCTGAGTTAACGAAAACTCTGGGTTTTCGGTTTCACAAAGCGAGTTCAGCTGAAGCCTGAGTGAGTCACTATGACGACACACGCCGTGAAGCTAACCTGCCCCCTAGCAGGTTTACTACAACTAACCCTGACTGTCTCTGCCCCTTTGTCGGAAACCTGACAGTAGGAAGTGTCGGACATGGCGTGCCCCGTCCTTGAAGAGCCAGTAGATCGTGAAGCCCAAATTCTCCGCAGAGCTCTCCGCCGGGAGAGAGTGATCAGAGCGCGTTTGGACATTTTATCATTTCCTGATGATTTTCTGTGCGAACGTTACCGTTTCTCAGCACAATCTATAATTTATTTGGATAACCTCCTCAGGCCATATATTACGCATGTGACACATCGCGGACATGCTCACAGTTCATTACATATTATTTGTATTGCACTTCGGTTTTTTGCAAACGGGAGCTTTCTGTATAATATTGGTGACACTGAGCACGTTTCCAAGGCTACCGTCTGTCGGGCAGTCAGGAATGTTACAGTTGCACTGAAACGTCTCCTGCACTCGTTTGTGGTGTTCCCCGGTCACAGACCCACAAGATTTATCAAAGAGGGATGCCACAAAATTGCAGGTAGCAGGATGACCAAAACTTAATTTATGATGTGGTGATACTTGAACTACTACTTAAATTTTACATTTATTTTCAGGGTTCCCAGGCGTGATTGGCTGTATAGATGGCACTCACATTCCAATCATTGCTCCTTCAGTAAATGAAGGAGACTATGTGAACAGGAAGTCTTTCCACAGCATTAATGTACAGGTACATAGTTCCCTGTAGCATTTCAAACTAACAAATTATTTCATTATAGTAATGGATGCTAATTTGTGTTCTCTGCACTGTGAAGATCATATGTGATGCTGCCAACATTATCACAAATGTGGAAGCCAAGTGGCCAGGCTCTGTCCATGACTCACAAATATTCCGTGAATGTACACTGAGCACAAAATTTGGACATGGTGAGTTGAGAATACTTTAAAATATATAAAGACCAATTGATTCAGGGACATTTGAACTGAAGTGTATCCTTCTGTCTTAGGAGAGTTCACTGGCTACTTGCTTGGTGATAGGGGGTATCCATGTTTACCCTATTTGCTTACCCCTTACCCTGACCCTGAACCGGGCCCACAGCAGCGAAATAATCTGGCTAATTGCAGGACAAGAGCCAGAATTGAAATGACTATCGGAATGCTTAAGGCCCGGTTCCAGTGCCTGCAAGGACTCAGGGTCACCCCAGAAAGGGCATGTGACATTATTGTGGAATGTGTGATTCTTCACAACATTGCCACAATTAGAGGAGAACACTGTCCTTCTGAACCAAACATCAGCAGTGATCCAAACCATGAACATCCTGACCCTCCCACGGACATACAAGATGGAAGAGCAGTCAGAGACACCATATGTCACAATCATTTCTTTTGACCCATCACCTCAACATGTTGAAAGAAGAATAAACAGATGTTTTGTTCAACTGGCTTTATTGGTCGCCTGTATTTCCTGTACACAAAGTATTAAAAGATGTAAACCTCATAAAGTGTCTCTGTTGCTTCCTCCTCTGTAACAGCTGTCAATGTTTCTTCATTATTTTCCTGTAGTAAATAAGTTGACAACATTGCTGTTCTACTGTAAACTCATATAATCTGTGGAGTATTACTCACAACTGCATGTTGGTCTGGCTCAACAGGAGGCTGCACCAGATGCAGTACACCATCACCATCAACTGATAGAATATGAGGTTTACACAGGTCACTTATAACTTACAAGGGACCAAATGGCAATTAACAAACATATAGCACTCAGCTTACACTTCATTGTCATTATGCTCTCAAAGACAACCAAGACTGAGGGAAGGCAAAATCAGTAGGAAAATAACTTCACTACAAACAAATTCATTATGGTGAAGAGTTTATCAAATGAATGAGCAGCACTGCAAAGGTGACTGTGAAGAAAGGATGTATGCACATCATGTATTATTTTGAATTTAGCCCCTATGTAGGCACTTGTGTCTTGCGGGGTTATTGACTCAGAGGATGTCCCCACAGAGATGCCTTCAGCCACAGGGCGCCCACTGTTTTGGCTGAGGGCCAACTGCTCAGCCTCTGTGAGTGGTGGTGGTGGAGGACCCCCACCTGTTTTTCAGGCCTCCGCTTTTTTTCTGTTGGCTATAACGGGGTCACATTTGAGCATACAGAGTAAGTGCTTATAGAAAGAAAATTAATGTAGCCTCTAACTGCAATTGATTTACATCGGACAAACAGACCAAGCACTATGGCTCATAATACAATTACACCTTACCTGTTTGGACTATATTTTTATATTTCATTTTTACTTGCTGCCAGGCACGTTTGGGGCCTGTTGGGTTGCACCTGCGCTCACATCACATCACAACATAAAATGTATAAAATAACAAATAAAATAACATATGATAAAATAACGTGTTAAATGGGTGGAAATCCCTAGATCAATGTTTATATTAACACTCACGCATTGACTCTGTCGGCTATGTTTTGCCATGCATGCTCCCTTTCTTTTGCAGCTGAGGCTGTGTTACTTTTTTTCTGCAAAATTTGCATGTTATCGGCATATGCTGCCATCAGAATTTCGGCCTCAAGCGCTGTAAAATACATTGACCGCGCCTTCTTTCCCTCCGTCTCCATGGTGACTCGCTTACTCTGTGCGCCGCTTATCAGGGCTTTATGCATCCTCGTCCGCGCGCTTCACTTGGGGTTAAAGCAACTCCGCGTTGACTGAACTACTTGTTATCAGCCTTTCTGAAACCGAATATTCCGAGTTGGACAGTTCGGGGTTACTCAACCCTGAGTATCGTTTTTCACTCTTAGTTTTCTAAACCGGCTTCCTGAAATAGGGCCCTGGTGTCACTTTACCTGTGATAGCAACTCCCAGCACGTGTAGGTGTAGGTTTGATCTCTGCTCTATGTATGAAACACATATAAAGAAATCAACAGCATTCGTTCAATTAAGCTTTTATTTTGAAACTAAAGAATTGAAAGAAATGAATCCGAGTAAGTTTACAGTCAGTTATCTGTGTCTGGATTTGGATTCAGATGCAGATGACAAATAAGGAAACATTTCGGCTTCTAGAAATTTCTCCACAGCACTGACACACATTTTTATATCAAACTAAATCAGCTGTTTACATTTTTATCATGATACTCAGATTAAGTTTAACATCTGTTAAGTGTTTAAGAAAAATACCTGCATGATTTTGAAAGAAGAGAAAAAAGAGGAACTGTTGGATTTTGCTAAACTTAACAGGAAAGACTCCAGTTAAAAGCAAACATGTGGGCCAGCAGTCACCAAAATAACAGACTGACCAACACAGGACAGTGGAGCCAATAAAAAACAATGCAGTTTACCAACTTATAGAAAATAGTCATTACCTAATGGAGGAGCAGCACTTTATGAAGAGCCGACTCAAAGAAAGGACAAGGAGAAGAGAATCATTGCGCATTTAACTGGATTTATTTGAATCAAAGATAACAAGAAGAAGTACAATATCTGAGTCAGTAGAATCAGAGGAGAAGTTGAAACAAATAAACACAAAACTAGAACCCAACCAGAAAGCGAGAGAGAGCAAGAAACTGATTTCAGCAGGTGATTTACTTTCTGATTTACTTCTAGCAGCACAGCAGACAGTCCAAACAGGAAGTGTTGGAGCTGTCACACCTCTCACATGGTGAAAATCAGATGACCACTGAAGGTGGTATGATGGTTTTCACTATCATGTATCCTTGAATTAGGATAGAGACGCACAGACACCTGATCTCCAGCCTGTAGAAGCAGTGAGGCTGCATTAGAGGCGCTCACATAACCAGATGTTGGATATTCATATGCAATAAAAATGTGCTCTCCATTCCTGAACAACACACCACCTGCAGCAAGATTTCCATCTCCATATAAGCTCCAGTCAAAGTGGTAGACTCCTCTCACTGGTGCCGTGAAAATACCTGTGGGACATTTGTTTTTGTCATGTTAAAAGGAAAATCAGCTGTTAGAACATCTGGAACATCAGCCTGACATCAACATAGCTGAGAAGTGACATTCAGTGTGATTACCTGTGTGTGGGTTGTAGGCATTTCCAATGTTTGTGACAGCACGTTTGAAGACCAGAGTAATCTGAGTGGGAAAGGGTCCAGTATCACCATAAGCTCCATTCATCAGAGAGGCTGAGAAAGCCACCTGTGTGGCTGAGAGAGAGAAATGTCATTATTTTAACCTTTCTGTTTTAGAGTTAGACTCTTCCCAAAAAAAGTGACCATGAAAAAAACTTGAATCTCCAATGAAAGAAATGTTTGACAGCTGAAAGCATTTCATTGTCACAGAAGAAATAAAACTCTGTGATTGGAAACTGAAATTTGATTGAATCTATTTTTTAAGGATCCCAAATTCGTCCTTTAGATCAGACAGGAAGTAATTTTGTAGCTTCTGCCAAGACAACAAACTGTGTTATTCAGTGTTTTAGTTGCATCTTGGTGTGTGCTTCAGACAAACATGAACTCAGTTTAATGTCAATCAGAAAATTAGATCCAGTAATGAACTTAATGTGTGTTCTGAAGCTTAAAGTCACTTTAATGACCTGCACAAAGTGGAGATACACCTGTAAACAACACCTCTGTTAATCACAGACAATCATACTAATCCTCTACTCGCTCTTCTGCCCTCAGATATCATGTGGAAGAAAAAAAAACATTGTTGGTACTAAAGTTGCCCCTGTGAATGAACTAAAGATATTCAAACACAGTAACGCCACCTTGTGGACAGATTTATATCACTGTTGATCGACCAGAGTTTCTTGGATTCTGTCTGCAGGTGGCGTTACAGCACAAATACAGCTTCGAACGTTCACAGAAATGAG